TTTTTGTCAGAGCAGCTTTATCAGTTTGGTTGCAAATTTATTGCTGTCTTCATTGTATAATGGTTTATGCTTATAATGTACAGGGAAGTTACTCACGAGGAATCAGGTCATGTGCTCAAGGTTCCCTTTCGGCGCATCCATCTTTCTGGGGACGATCCCCATTTTGACACCTACGACACCAGTGGTCCTCAGGATATTAGTCCTAGGATTGGTATGGATCCCTTCCACCTCCTATCACTGCATACAAAATTCTAAATTAGTACAATGCAGTCATTGTTTGCTTAATTGCTTATTCTCCTATTACCTCGGTTCTTTTCCTTTTCCTTCATTTGCAATATCCTTGACAATTCTCTGCTTGAGTAGTTGTAGAGCTATTAGATCCTATCTCACACATAAGCTTATCTGAGGGAAGGAATTGAGACAATTCTTGTTCTATGAGCTTTGTATTCAGCAGCATTGATTGAGTTAAGATTGAGTTTTAACTTGCATGTAACTTACTTGGTTATTTATGCTATTATAATACAGGACTCCCTAAGTTGCGCAAGGATTGGATTGACAGGAGGGAGAAGTTAGGTCTGCCTCGATACACTCAGATGTTCTATGCTAAGCAAGGAATGATAACTGAAGAGATGTTGTTCTGTGCTGCTCGTGAGAACCTTGATCCTGAATTTGTGAGGTCAGAGGTTGCTCGTGGACGTGCAATTATTCCTTCCAACAAGAAGCACTTAGAGTTGGAGCCTATGATAGTTGGAAGAAATTTTTTGGTCAAAGTTAATGCAAACATTGGAAATTCTGCTGTTGTTAGCTCAATTGAAGAGGAAGTCCATAAGCTTCAGTGGGCAACAATGTGGGGTGCAGACACAATTATGGATCTGTCAACAGGTCGCCATATTCACGAGACACGTGAGTGGATACTACGGAACTCTGCTGTACCAGTTGGTACGGTCCCTATCTACCAAGCACTTGAGAAGGTGAATGGCATTGCTGAGAATCTCACCTGGGAGGTTTTCAGGGAAACCTTGATCGAACAAGCAGAGCAAGGTGTTGATTACTTCACCATCCATGCAGGTGTTCTGCTAAGGTATATTCCTCTAACAGCCAAACGCATGACTGGGATTGTATCCCGGGGAGGATCCATTCATGCAAAGTGGTGTTTAGCCTACCACAAAGAGAACTTTGCTTATGAACACTGGGATGATATTCTCGATATTTGCAACCAATATGATATAGCATTATCAATTGGGGATGGCCTCAGGCCTGGGTCGATATACGATGCCAATGACTCTGCCCAGTTTGCAGAGCTCTTGACCCAAGGAGAACTTACGCGACGAGCCTGGGAAAAAGATGTGCAGGTACATACAACCTTATGAATTGTGCTAGGTTTACATAAATAATATGCTCAAGTTTAATTTCCTTGTTACTATGGCTTATTTTTCACTGTAATCATCAATTTTAATCGTCACTTTACATGTTAAGTAATAATGTGCTATTGTGACTTTAGGTGATGAATGAGGGGCCTGGACACATTCCAATGCACAAGATACCTGAAAACATGCAAAAACAGCTGGAATGGTGTAATGAAGCTCCATTCTACACTCTTGGTCCACTAACAACTGATATTGCTCCTGGTTACGATCACATAACCTCGGCCATTGGTGCTGCCAATATTGGAGCCCTTGGTACTGCACTTTTATGCTATGTGACACCAAAAGAACATCTCGGATTGCCAAATAGGGATGATGTGAAAGCTGGGGTAATAGCATACAAAATTGCTGCTCATGCTGCTGATCTGGCTAAATGCCACCCACAAGCTCAAGCATGGGATGATGCATTGAGCAAAGCTAGATTTGAGTTCCGATGGATGGATCAATTTTCCCTTTCACTAGACCCTATGACTGCCATGTCCTTCCATGATGAAACCTTGCCATCAGAGGGTGCCAAGGTTGCACATTTTTGCTCTATGTGTGGGCCTAAATTCTGCTCTATGAAGATAACTGAGGATGTCCGCAAGTATGCTGAGGAGCATGGTTATGGTGATGCTGAGGAAGCTGTACGAGAAGGGATGGAAGCTATGAGTGCTCAGTTTCTGGCTGCTAAGAAAACTATCAGCGGAGAACAACATGGTGAAGCCGGGGGAGAGATCTACTTGCCTCAGAGTTATGTAGATTCTTTGAAGAGGTAAAATAGCATATTACACTCCATATAGCTGGTTACCTCTTAGCAAAATAATTGATTATATCCTTCTAAACTTCTTGATCTCTTGACCGTTGCAGGTAGAAATCTACACTTGAAGTCGAGGCAGTGGCGTAGCTGAGCTTAGCCCTCCTTGAAGCCTCAGTGGATGCAGATTAATATAAGCATGGACTTTTTTTTTGCCCTGAGGTGGTAAGTTCAAGGTTGATGTATAAATAAAGAATAGACTAGTTCATCCATAAGCTTGTTTGAAACTATGGCTCAATGAAACTCCTTTCCCTTTGTTGTGATCTTTCGACTTATAGCTTTTTTTTCGTTCATATTTTACATTTATTGACACAAGAAAGGCACCAGGGGTGTTTGTCTTTGCTACAGCATCTCATCTGTTTTGACAGAAGATGCTGGCGAGACAGGCTGAGAAAGTCCCTTTGAACCTGAACAGGATAATGCCTGCGTAGGGAGTGTGCATTTTCTTTTTCGTTTTTTCCTTTGCGTGGTAACAGGGACAGAGCTTCCTGTATATGGGGCAGCTTGATCTGGTTAGCTGGTTCGGTATCTTGACCATGCCCATCTCTGATATCCGGTGGGTAGCAACTTAATGTTAGCTAAAATAAATGTTGCTTCCCTCGCTCTCTTTTGACTAAATGATACTTCATACTACGTAATTAAATAAATTGGCTTTATATATGCAATATTATGATCTGTATTAACACTAGAACAGTAGATCTTCTCTAGATGAAATAAGTGCACATCATGTAAAAGTTGTTTGTGAAAGCTTCTTACTACCTCTGGTTCATATTACTCGCAACAAAGGGGTATTATTTGTGAGACATAAAATGTTCATTTGTTGCGAGTAATAAGAACGGGAGGTAGTATTTGTTAGAGATGCTACCTGCAGCTGTATGTTCATTCTAGACGTAGGATGGTTAAGTTGCCGTTGAGTTGCTTTCTATTTCAGGAATATACTATAAAGTTGCCGTTGAGTTGCTTTCTATTTCAGGAATATACTATTAAGTTGCCGTTGAGTTGCTTTCTATTTCAGGAATATACTAAATGAAAATAATTTATTTTTTAAAAAAAAAAAAAAGGAATTGAAGAAATACTGATCAGTGATAAACTGATAATTCATATCGTTCCTAGTTGTGTTTGATGTTTCTCCTCCCCTTCGTTACACTATATTTCACTTGATCTTAGCCAAAAGGCTGAGAAAGGTATCACTTTATTTCTTTTTGCTTACTGCAAAGAAAGACATGCATTATGCATCAGTTGTACGATGTTAATCCAATTTGAGATACTTACCTGTATAGATGGTCACGGATATAGGAACGAATAAGAGAGCCATTGTACGGTTGTACCTGCGACGTATTTAAGTTGATTCTCGTTTATGATACTGTCCAAAGAGTGAAATATATTTCCTCGACTCCTTGTCCAAAGAGTTTATATATATATATCCTTGTCCCAAACGATGTGAATAGAATAATGTATTGGATCATATAAGAATTGGCTTAATACCTCAATGAACCTTCCAAAAATAAAATGATGTATATAAAATTAGATAAAAGAGTGATTTCCTAGGGAGCTGAGAGCAAGCGGCATTTGTGGGGGTTACAAAAATATATAGGGGCATTCCGAGAATTGAACTCGGGACCTCTCGCACCCTAAGCGAGAATCATACCACTAGACCAAATGCCCGATCATGTTACACAACTACTGTATATTGTTAATTTTCAAAATGCATGCCTGTACAATACGATCTTGAGTCTACTTCAGGACGATTTTTGGGTACAAGAGTACAGGGAAAGAGGAAAAATTGCTTCTCAAATTAAGTGAAGAAACACAATCACGAATTAAGATGTATAGACTACTCTGTATTTTGTGTGGATGTCATAAAATTATATCTCAGTTGGTATCCAGCGAACGATCAAATTATTGAGGTCCCCTTATATAATCGCACTCAAACAAAAACATTAGAGGGGCATTCCGAGAATCGAACTCGGGACCTCTCGCACCCAAAGCGAGAATCATACCACTAGACCAAATGCCCATGCTGTGTTAATCTTTGTTCATTTTAAATTATCTTAATTAACTTTAGATAATAAAAATAAAATAAAATAAAAAAATATGACGGCTGTGGGATGTGAACTCACGCCCTTTCGGACCAGAGCCTAAATCTGGCGCCTTAGACCACTCGGCCAAACCGTCTTAATGATGTTATTCAATCCTGATTTAACAATACTTTCAATTTTACAATTAACAAACTAATTTCCAATATTGAAAATTCAATATCTATTATTAGAGCTAACTGACCTCCAGCAATTGTTCTTAACCAGTATAATAGCTAACCTTTTACCGACCAATATAATATTTACACACTAGACTGGTGCCTGTTAGCAGCGGCCTCTTACAGTGTCATTTATGTAAGCATTGAAGACTTGAAGTTAATCATCCTCTACCACCTAGCTAACTACCTGAGCTAAGAAGTATGGTCGATGTGATCATAGGCCATGGCTAAAACTAAGGAAGAATCAGTGTTGATATGCTGAAAGAATAATCGTCTAATGTCACTCTATTAGAAGCGCCAAGACTTTTGATCAGCACCCCTCATATAATCTCCTCAAAATCTCAAAATCAGGGATGATAGATGGTTCAGCCACACTGATGCCGAATCCTGATATTCGACTTTACTTTCCTACAATGGCTAATCTTCTATATTCTGATTCCATCGCTAATCAGAGACTGGGTACAGACTCGATAAGATTGAACCTGATGTTGAATGAAGGTCTTGCTATTCATCAATCATGGTCTCATGGACAAGCAAAACTAAATTTTCCCTGCATTTTATATAGAGGAACATTGTATACAACAAATGGAACTCTTACTAGTTACTACATGTGGATATGAACAAGCAAAACATACATCTCCATTACAGAATAAACATCGAATACAATGAATAAATATTTCATTTAAAAACTCATCAAATACAATACATGTACCAAAATCTTTGCACTTGCAGCATGTATTAAGTCAGGGTCTGCTGATCTCCCTACGATTAACATTCCTCTTAGCTATAAAATCTCAGTTTGCCTGTTTACTCGGTAGCTTCAGGAGTGCCATCTGCTACAACACCAAAATAAAACAAGGTAAGAAAATTACTCCTTACTTGGTCTCAAAAAGACAGACACTAAAATATTAAAGTAAAGTGTCCTCCACAGGGGAGACCAGTAATTTAAGTGAATCTTAAGCACTGGGATATTAAATATCAGTGAACATCAAAGGCAATAGACAGAAAAAACAACATAAGATGCCTGTTCCATCTCTTAAGAATGAACTCGCAATGATATAGCTCAAATGCCTGTTCATGAAGATTTTCCCTCAAAAAGTATATAGCTCAAATGACATAGAACTCGCAAGACAACCATCATCCCACTGGTTCAATCTGTAATGCCCTCACTTATAATCTTAGGCTTCTTGGGGCTGATGGAATCTAACAATGTAGGCAAGATCATAGTATCTTGATCCTATTTCCTGAAGTTGCACCAATACTAAAAAGAATAGAGAGGCTCTCTGAAACTTGTACAGAAGAATAAAAAAATTCCAATATTGAACTAAAATCCTCTGTTGTAATTTTCATGCATCTCACTGACAGAAATGCGCTTAATATGTGCATACAGAAGATGATCTTGTCAGAGGCCTACATCAGGGAAGCCATCAAGGGAGCTTATTAATAAATAAAACCATGATCCATCTAATTTCCACTGTTACAATTTTCATGCACCTCACTGACAGAAATGCGCTTAATATTTGCATACAGAAGATGATCTTGTCAGAAGCCTACATCAGGGAAGCCATCAACTTATTAATAAATTAAACCATGATCCATCAGGCAATGGCCCTTAGACAAGTAATTAAGTACTTCAAATTCAGATAGGGAAACTAAGGTTTAGCTGACTAATGTAAAAATGTTGCTAACTACTAATAGCCATGAGAAGCCAAGGCTCACTAGGGCGTATAAGAGCACTAATCATTCTTGTACTTACACTCAGCAACATTTATTCCAACTAACACACCACCGTATCAAGATACTGCTCCAATTCGCGTGAGCACGTGGAGTGAATCCCCCCCCCCCCTCTCTATCTCTCTCCAAAAACCAAACCCTTCCTCTTCTTTTAAAAATCGACTTTGAAATACCAAGCTCACACCATCAAATGCATGATACAATCTTTGAATACTAATCATCGTCTCATTAAACACACCCACAGTTTCGCAAAAACTCCTCCATACAAGAATAACACACGTACCATTCCAACATGATCAGCGCGATCATATCAAAATTATACCTCCTATGTCTTCCTTCTCTCCATGATCTTCCTACTGATCCTTCTACTGTAAGTAATTCGATAATTCCATTACACTAATACACATCAAGTTTCCGAATACATTACCCAGCAAGCTCATACCATAATCTAACATACAAAACAACCAATGGATAATGCAACTGCAAGATATACTACTAATCACCCTTTATTTTCAAAATTGAGTCATACATATTTCACCAATTTCTCTTTAATTTCAAACATAAGCCATTCTACCATACCAATTCAACATGAATTGCCACATTATAACATCAATGTAATTAAATTATAGGGTAATTCATACTACCAATTGCCACTTTATCCACAAATCATGTTGCATCAAAACTAAAAAAAGAAAGAAAAAACAAAGCACTAGATTATAAATTATCATTACCTTCCTCACCATCACCAACATCTTCTCCTTCCTCTTCCTCATCCTCGTCGTCTTCGTCTTCATCATCCACAGAATCAACCCCATACATTTGATTCAAATAATCCACAGCCCCTTGAGTAAAAACCAGCTTCTCAGCATTCAAAACATCAAACAAATTCAAACTTCTTGGAGTCAACAACTTCAAAGTCCTAATATTCCTCCCAGATTTCTCCACATTTTCTTCCAATTCCGTAAAAAAAAACATCGATTTCTCAGCTGGGTCAAGCCCCCACCTCTGCATTGCCGCAATAAAATCCTTAGTTTTAGGCTTCCCAAAATTCTCCGCAAATTCTTCCACAACAATCGAGTTCTCAGCAGCACTAGCAATGGCGGTCGAAAGAGCAAGTCTCTTCTCCTTCTTGTTCATCTTAATGGACCAATCTCTGGGCTTGGGCCCAAAAATAACCCCACCACCGGGCCTGAGAGGAGACCTCTGTGACCCACGTCGGGCCCGACCCGTTTTCTTTTGTGGGTAGGGTTTCCGACCACCACCACGAACTTCCGCACGTGTGAGAGTAGAGGCGGTCCCACGGCGTTTGTTCTGGAGTTGGGTGATGAGACCACGGTGAACGACGGCACGGGCCGTTTCGGATGGGGCGGTTTTGAGGTTGAGAAACGTTTCGCCGACTTTTTCGCCGGAGAAATTGAGGATTGGAAGAGGGGTGAGCTCGGATTTGATGGAGAGAGAAAGTGGGGTTTGGGAAGGGGAAAAGGAGGGGAGTTTGAGAATTGGTTTGGAAGAAAAGTGGTGGGATTTAGTGGAGAAAAGGGAGGAAGAGAAGAAGGAGAGAGAAAGGGAGGATGAAGTTGAAGTCGCCATTGTTGAAGGAAGAGTAAGCTTTTTTGAGGGGATGAGAAATGGTGGTTATGCTTATCCGTTGGACACAGAATAGAGAGAGATGGAGTAGGCGTACTACTGATTTATTAAAAAAAATAAAAATAAAAAAAAGATTCGATAGTGTACCCTTTTTTTTTTTTTACACCTTCTATAGTGTACACTCTGTTTTTAAATACTCCCTTGGTTTATAAATATTTGCTGCACTTTTCTTTTTCAGCCGTTTTTAAATACTTGCTCTATTTCCTTATTTGAAAAGTTTTTTATAATATTTAACTAATTTCTCTCACTTAGTGGACCCACTACATATTTTCTCTCCTCCAATCCTCTCCACTATTTTTACTTTTTACAATTTTTTTTCTTCTTCCGCTTACCCCACTACCTCCATATATTATTATTTTCTTCAATTTCTCCTAAAACTCCGCGCATGGAGAAATGGAGCAAGTATTTAAAAACGGAGGGAGTACTTGTTTAATCTCTTCTGAACACATATGTCAATACTAATTTTTTATCAATATTCCCTCCGTCCCTAAATTACATTCCTATTTCTAGCATTTATTCTTCACATAATAGAGAAAAACAAGAATGTAATTTAGGGACGGATGGAGTAATATTTTTAATTATCAATAAGTATAAATTCTAACAATTGAAAATTTTAATCTATTTTAAATGCTTATTCAATTTCTTCTGTGACCGTGAAACTGAACACTAATGCTTCACTAACGAACGAAGGGTGGGTAGGGTTGGGAATTGAGGCGAGAGACAGCACTGGCTAAGTCATCTTTACTGACACGAAGAGGGTTTAGGTTCACTAGCCACCTGAACTAGCTTAGGCAAAGGCAAAGGAGTTAGGGTATGTTCTAATTTACTGAATTGAACAGATTGGAACTGAACTGAATAGAGCTAAAAATGAATATTTCATGAAAGAAGAAAATTAGAAGTTGAACTGAACTTGACTGATTGGAGCTGAACTGAACTGAAATTAAGCTGAAGTGTAGCCCTATTAGATTGAGGGAAAAAGACAAGGCCATTAAAGAAAAGAGTTTTTTTTAGGAGTATTATTTTGGAAGATGAACAAGGTGAGTTGAGAGTTAAAGTAAAAAAGGTGAAATAAAAACTAAAAATAAAAAGATAATTTCAGTACATAAGTGTGATTACACATTTACACATGTTTACTTATGTCAAGTCAGTTTATTGGCCTAATTGACACCAGAGTTATTTTTATTTACTTTAATGCTCCATGAGCAATTTTTTATTTTACCAATTTGTCACATGAGGTCTTTTTTTTTAGCAAATTGGTCAATTGGAAACCTTAAGCAAACAGAAAATATTACGGGCCTGTTCTCTTACGTTGAAATTTAGTTCAGTTCAGCTCAGCTCAGTTCAATTCAGTTCAGTGCAGTTCAGTTCAGCTCAGTTCAGTTCAGTTCAATTCAGTTCTGCTCCTAATTTCCTTCTCTTATAAAATATTCAGTTCAGTTCAGTTCAGCTCAGTACAGTTTAGCTGAGTTCAGTCAATGAGAACAGGCCCTAATTACACTATCAGATGATGTTCTCCAAAAACCACAAATATGAAAGAATGTTACTAAGATATAATATGAAGTCTGAACCACATTTTTGCTCCTTGAACAACTTTTTTTCTTTGATGGAAATCAAATAATGTTACTCCCTCCGTCCCCATTTGATTGTCACTTATGTCATTTTAGGTGACTCAAAATGTTTATCACATTCATATTTTTTAATTATTAAGATATATATAAAGATTTTATACCTTCATTTTTTTTGTCCTTATTAAATTCTCCTCTTATTTTACCCTAACATTTTCCATAAAATTGTGTCAACTTTTGACTAATTTAATGTTTTTCATTCTTAAATCTCTTAATTTTTCTTTCTCATGTACTTTAATTACTTTTTTTTAATTATTGAAAATGTCTATTTCTTATGTACTTTTATTATTTTATTGGTTGAGAATTTCACTTTCCCATATACTTTAATTACTTCACACTCTCCACTTTAATTCCCGTGATTTTCCTTCAAAAGTGACAATCAAACGGGGATGGAGAGAGTATTAATCATAAGCTGAAAACTCAAACAAAACAAAACAAACAAAGTGCTTCTTGAGGAACTTCCTCAATCCACACCCATAAACTCCCCCCCCCCAAAAGTTTACTAAGGTGAGCAAGGCAATAGGTTACCTTGTTACCCCTTCTGCCTATGTGTAAAAGCAGAAGAAACCTCCAAAATTTATCAAAAATCGTGGATATTAGCCTTCAATTTTGGAATTTTTTTGAATTTTTTTCACCCGAAAATAAAAATTTCCGAAATGTTTACCATGGTCCCTAATACCCTCCAGGAGTCCAATTGGTTGGGTGAAACCATCCAATTTGCGTTTAAACGACCAATTTAACAGTTTACAACTTGCACCAATTTCATTAACTCAAGCCTACCACGAACATTTATGACAACATATAATGATCATATATGGTTCTAAACGGCATTATATGACCCTGAGATGTATTCCCTAAAATCTCAAGGCTTTTCGACATTGTGCCTCGAAACCTCCAAAATTTCTCAAAAAACGTGGATAATAGCCTTCAATTTTGGAATTTTGTTACTTTTTTTCGCCCGGAATAAAAAAATTGCCGAAATTTTAACCATGGTCCCTAATACCCTCCGGAAGTCCAATTGGGTGGGTGTATCCATCCAATTTTCCTTTAAACAACCAATTTACCGGTTTACAACTTGCACCGATTTCATTAAATCAAGTCTGCCACGAACATTTATGACAACATATTGACAGGGTAAAGTCGTATCCCCAAATCAAAAGTAATACCTAAATCCTCTAACTAATGTAGATAGGGAAGTAGGGTCGAATCCACAGAGAAACGAGTCTTTCTATTCCTAATTAAATAAAGTAATCTAAATTATAAAGTAACCAATATATAAATTTGGGTGTGAAACTAAACTACGGAGATTAATAATAAGGAGAAAACAATGAATAAAAGGATCTAGGGCATAGGTTCACCAATAAATAATATTCCAGGGTAGAATATAATAATCATTCATCAATGCAAATATTAATCAGATTATAAAGGGCTTTCGCTACGTATTATAATCACACAATTAATTTACCGGTATTAAATCTTATCTTTCGAATCTCGATTTAACCATTTATAAATTAACCTGCCTATTGAAACTAGACCTAAACATTAATTCTCATCTGTCGAATCTCGAATCAATATTGTCAAACTCATGCATAAAAGATCAGGCCTAATCTAGTCACAGAGCATTAAATCAATCAATAGGAAATTAATCTAGCATTGATAATCAACAACAATAAACTACCCCTTCATATTATTTAAGGATCCCCAAAAACCCTAGAAATAAAACTACTCACACATAGTAAAAACTAAACTAATCAAAGCAATAAAGCAAGACATGATTAAAGGAATAAAATAAACAACTAAGATTAAGAGAAGAGAAATCGTTACCAAAATAAATCTGGAATTAAGAGTAGATTAAGAACAAAGGTTTTAGGAGAAAGAAATCTAAGAGAACAATTAAGAGAGTAAAGTAAGCGTAAAAAAATAGAGAGAGGAAAGAGAGCTCCCTAAAATCGTATTACGGAGGAGTATTTATACTCCGTACAAATCCTAAACTAAAACAAACTAAAACGACGCTAATCGTCAACTAATAAATACACGCGCCCGATCGGGCGAGGCACCGCCCGATCGGGCGCGCCTTTTTATCCCTAATACTAATCTCGCGCCCGGCCAGGAGCGTCACCGGGCGCCAGCGTTAGCTTCTCCCACCCGGCCGGGCGGCTCACTTGGGCCACAATTTGGACTACGATTGGGCTTCAATACTTCGGGCCAATCTGGGTTTCCACTTCCGGTGTTGAATACTCGGTCCAAATGCCCCGGTATCACCTATACCGAGCCCTTAATCACCGGTTCGATGACTCTAACCGGCCCTGGCCTATAGAATCTAGGCTTGTTTCTCCAATGCTCGTGATTTCTCCAAAATAACTCGGGAAAATACTCCAAAAGTATAAATCCCTGCAAAAGTCAACCAAATCTACGAAAACACTAGAAAACACCAATTAGTAATAAAAGTGGCTCTAAAGAGCCAAAAACATTACTAATTATGAGTTTATGACCAAGGGATGGGGGTAAAATACTATATAAAATAGACACATCACATATAATGATCATAAATGGTTTCAAATGGTATTATATGACCCCGAGATGTATTCCCTAAAATTTCAAGGCTTTTCGACCCCGGGCCTCAAAACATTCGAAATTACTCAAAAAACGTGGATATTAGCCTTTAATTTTGGATTTTTTGCCTTTTTTTCGCCCAGATATAAAAATTGCCGAAATGTTTACCATGGTCCTTAATACCCTCCCGGAGTCCAATTGGGTGGGTGGAACCATCCAATTTGCCTTTAAACGACGAATTTACCGTTTTACAACTTTCACCGATTTCTTTAACTTAAGCCTACCACGAACATTTATGACAACAAATAATGATCATTTATGGTTCCAAATGGCATTATATGACCTCGAGATGAATTCCCTAAAATCTCAAGGCTTTTCAACACCGTGTATTAAAACCTCAAAAATTTCTCAAAAAACGTGGATAATAGCCTTCAATTTTGGAATTTTTTGACTTTTTTTCGCTCGAAATTAAAATTGTCGAAATTTTACCATGGTCCCTAATAACCTCCGGAAGTCCAATTGGGTGGGTGTATCCATCCAATTTGCCTTTAAATAACCAATTTACCGGTTTACAACTTGCACCGATTTCATTAAATCAAGCCTGCCACGAACATTTATGACAACATATAATGATCATAAATGATACCAAATGGCATTATATGACCCCAAGATATATCCCCTAAAATTTCAAGGCTTTTCGTCCCCATACCCAAAAACATTCAAAATTACTCAAAAAGCGTGGATACTAGCCTTTAATTTTAGAATTTTTTGCCTTTTTTCGCCCGAATTTAAAAATTGCCAAAATATTTACCATAGTCCCTAATAAACTCCCGGAGTCCAATTGGGTGGGTGGAACCATCCAATTTGCCTTTAAACGACAAATTTACCGGTTTACCACTTTGACTAA